TATATATAATATATATGTATAATATAAATATACACTTCATATATAAAATATAAAGTAATACTTTATTTCATTTTTTTAAAGGCTCAGAAACAAATATGACAAAATGTTAATAATTACTAATTCTGGATCATTACCCAAGAGTCTGTTACATATTTTCTGAACTGTTCTGCATTTTTAAGTGTTTTTCAAAACAAGAGTAAAAGAGAAAAGATACTCCGCTACATAGGTTTTACCACATGCACCGGGAGCTAAGGCCTATGGAGAATTCTCTGCTACAGAATTTCATTTTCTGGGGAATGTGAAGACAACTGAAGTGAAATGGGAACGTGAATAAGAAAACAGGCCTCTCTCAAGGAGAGAGCACACGAGTGGATGAATGACAAGAGACGCACACACACACAAATACACACGTGAGTGCGTAGACAGATACGTAAATTGATGTATACGTGTACATATACATCATACACATGTGGGTGGACAGACGGATGGACAGATAGATGGTGTGGAATAATGCCCCCTACCCTCAAAGATGTCCGTGTCCTAATCCCCAGAGCTGTAACTATGTGACATCCCCAGCAAAAGGGACTTCATGAATATAATTAAGGGCATAGTCCCCAAGATGATGAGGTATCCTGGATTATCCAGGTAAACCCAATCTAAACACATGAGTCCTTAAAAATGAAAGAAGAGGCAGAAGACTGGGTCTGAAAACTGAGACTGAACAAGAAGGAGCAGAGACTTGAGGTGTGAAAGAGACCCAGCCTGCCCGTGCTGGTTTGCGATATGGAAGAGGAGCCACTGGCCAGGAGCAAAATTCTGCCAACCACCCAAGTGAGCAGGAAACTGATTCTCCACTGCAGCCTCCAGAAGGAATGCAGCCCTGCTGACACCTTGATTTTTGTCAGGGGAGACACATATTGAATTCTGATCTACAGAACTAAAAAATAATAAATTGGTGTTGTTCACAACAAAATTTACATGAAACTGGTAATTTGTTATAGCAGCAACAGAAAACTAATTAGGTAGATGGTACATATGTAGGTGGGTGGGTAGACAGATATATAAATAGATGATAAAGATATAGATACAGATACAGATACAGATATAGATATAGATATAGATATAGATATAGATATAGATATAGATATAGATGGATGGATGATGGATGATAGATGATAGATAAACCCTTCATCAAAAGTTTTCCTGTTTGGTTATCTGCAAAGTAAATATATGTTAAACAAATCCTATGTTACTATTAACTTCCATTGTAAATTGGCCGTAAGTTACTATGTGAAAAATGGATGGATTTCAATATACTAAAGAGAAAAAATAAGCTGTGTGAAATGGCCTCCTGAACAGTGAACATGAAGCCCCTTTAGACTAGGCACTACCTTTCAGCATTTTCCCAACACTGCCCCTCAGACTGGGCACTACATCCCTGTTTCTGAAGATGGACTAAATATGAAAGAAATGGAGAGGACACTTCTCCAAGAAGCTCTATCATCCAACTATGCCGTCCACCACCAGAAAATGAACTGAGTTTGAGACCTCGTGTGAGTCAAACAAATCAGTCATCTCCTTTATCAAATCTTTGCAGGCCAAATGCTATCGAACCAGTGGCTTAGTAAGGAATATGCCATTAAAGGGAACTCTTTTCTTATAAGCCCAGCATTGTATTCCCTTCTGAACACCTCCCCAGAGATGTGTGTCCTTCATTAAAAGGACAAGTCTTAGCAACCACTCACCGTGAGTGGTACAATGGAAGACACTGGATCAGAAAACTCAGATTGCAGCCCTAATTCCGTAAACTGGGTGAGCCAGGGAAAGCCATTTCTGGCAGACACACCCTAGGGTGATCCTGTAAGTCACACCTTTGTATAATCCTCTCTTCGTGTGAGTGTGGTGGAGACTGTGACTTGCTCCTAACTAACAAAATATCGCAAAAGTAAAGGTATTTTTGCTGATGCGATGAAGGTTTCTAATCAAGTAGATTATCCTGGGTGGACCTGATCTAATCAGGCAAGTCCTTCAGAAGAAGACCTCGAAGTCAGAGACTTATTAAGGCAGCAGAGGCACATTCTCTCTCCATTGCCAGTGTGGAAGAAGCAAGCTACCATGAACTCTGTGCCTCAAAAAACCGAATTCTGCCAACACGCCATGAAGGTAATAAAACCAGATGGTGGGAGGGAAATGACGGGAGGGCGAACATTGTCGTACAAAGGTCAGGGAGGTCCCACCGCAATGGTGCTGTCTCTGCTGAGACGGGGGAGCCAGCTGTCTGATGAGCCAGAGGTGAGCTGTGTAGGAGGAGGTGGAGGATCTGCACGTGCCAACGCTGGAAGCTCCAGACAGCTGGAATGAACTCAAAGGACAGTCACAAGCCAATAAAGGCACAAATGATGGCTCAGTCATGGTTGCCCGATAAATGCTCGATGGATATAAAAATCTCAGTGGCCTCATCCTCATCCAGGATTCAGACCCCTCCTTGCTCTACCCCTGAGCCAATGCCCCCTCACCTACCTTCCCACCCACGGGCTCTTGCTGAGAAGCTCGCTGATGGCGGAGGCAGTTTTCGGCTCCCGCAAAGCCAGATGGTAAGACTGAGCTCAGTGTGACGAGCTCAGTGTAAGACCACAGAGAGGGGCGGGGACTGAGGCAAGGGGCAGAGCACAGGTGCTGGCCACAGGGGCGGCCACTGCTCAGCTCCAGCTAGCTGCTGCCATGCCGGAGGGCAGGCCCAGATTCTCCAGAGCTTCAGGTATTTCAAGACAAGCTAGAAATGCAGACTTTTATGTGAAATCTCCTGGTGCTTATTTGGCTACTAAGAGTCAAAACTTGTAAATATGGTCAGACCTAAGGAGAGTCTCACCCAGGCTATGCTTGCCCAGGAGTTGTTGCAGACGCCTCTCCAGGCTTCCTGGAGCATCAGCCAGGCACCACCAGCCTGGTTTGGGGAAGTTTCCCCTCTGGTGTCCATGGTGGCACCTGGCACCTCGCAGGTGCGTGGTGATGATCTGTTGTATCAGCTAAGCTGAAGTCTGGGGAAGGTGGGAGCAGTCAATGAGGCACGCACGCTTGTCCCTCACCCCACCTCTCCTGGGACCATGACTGAGGCCCAGAAACAGCTTGCAGCTGTCAGTCCATGCAATTTAGTGCTTCTTCCACATCAGTCCAATGTGGGAGATACTGACGGGGCACATGGCCACCTGCCAACATCCCTGTGCTCTCTGAATCCATGAGCAGCTTCTCTTTGGTGTGGCTAGCGTTCATTCCATCTGAGAACAGCACGCAAATTCTCCCTGAGGGAGCCATCCCTCCCCCACTCTGCATGGCTCAGGGGTTTGCGGTAGGACTGGATGTCCCTGTCACACAGGCAGTGACCCTTCTTTCATTCAGCTATGAACAGCTAGGCTTCTTTGGGGAAGGATGAAATGTGGTTTGGGACAGCATGAAGAACAGCTCCTGCAAGAGTGCTCCCGGGGCCTGGCACACTGAGCATCACCTGGGAGCCTGTTAGAAATGCAGAGTCTCAGGCCCCACCCCAGACCTGAGGAACGTGTCTCAGCATCCCAAGAAAACCCACACAACTCCAGGTGACTCTCATGCCCGTCGCGGGCTGGGGGGCACAGGGCAAGCTGCTATCTACACACAGGCTCTGCAGTAAGACTTGCTGATTCAGGGGCGCCTGGGTGGCGCAGTCGTTAAGCGTCTGCCTTCGGCTCAGGTCATGATCCCAGGGTCCTGGGATCGAGTCCCGATTCGGGCTCCCTGCTTAGCGGGAGGCCGGCTTCTGCCTCTCCCTCTGCTGCTCCCCCTGCTTGTGCTCTCTCTCTCTCACTCTCTCTCTCTCTGGAATAAATAAAATAAAATCTTGAAAAAAAAAGACTTGCTAATTCACATCTGGGTCCTTGGAGAGGCTGCCCCATCTGTGTCTCAGGTTCCTCAGGGGAAAAATGGGGGCCACTGTACAGTGCCTGGCACATAGCAAGCCCTCGTGATGCCAGCTCTGGACACGTGGTCCGGCAGACAGCTGAAATGGGCGGGGGCCTCATCGCAAAGCCTGTCCAGGGGGCACATCACCTCTAGCCACGGAGGTGCTGAGCAGCTGTAGGGAAGAATTAGGAATCTGCACTGCCTCTTGAAGACTATCTCAGCTTTGGGTCAAATACCGACAATGAGGGGAGAAGGCAGGCGTGTTCCAAGAAGGGGAGATTAGAGGGCCGAGATGTGGAGGGGGAGTTCGGGAAAGCATCAGGGCTCTGGCTTCAGCGTGTGAATCTGAGAACAGGAGGCAGGGAGGCAACACGAAGTCACCCTGAGCAGAACAGAAGGCCACGGGAAAATCAGACCCAACAGCTTCTCGGGCGGCACAGAGGGGTGGGGCCTGGTGAAAGAGTGGCCCTGCCCCCTCGGCCCCAGCAGCTAAAGGGTTTTGAGCAAATGGGCAAGACCGTCAACAATGAAAGAGTGGTATTAGTAAAACCTGTGCGTCCCGTCTGTCAGGAGATGCTGTGCATGCACGTGTCACAGAGAAAAGTCTGGAAGGGAGCGCCCTGCACACCAGTAGCGCTCCCCAGAACAGAGGCAGTACCAGGATGCTTTATCATCTCCTCTTTGCTGGCCTATATTTCCGAACTTTTCTGCAAAGGACATGTACCACTTGCATAAATAAAAAAGCAATAAAAGCTGTAAATAATAAATGCACTCTCTCCTCGGGACTTAAACGGGTGGATGTGTTCTCAACTCAGTTATTTCAAATATTTACTGGATTCCTGGTCTTGGAGAGGTGCCCCCGAAAAGCACACAGTCGGGGGAGGATGCTGTGCAGATGGGCTGATGGGGAACAAACCGATTCCCTTGCCCATGAACCTTCAGACCCTCACTCCTACACAGACCCTCTGGAACCCCTGTGAAGTTTTCCTGGGGTTAGCAAATCGCCCCTGGCAGCTCCTGACAGGATGAGCACACATGGGCCAGACAGAGGTGGCCACAACCCCTACCTTCTGGAGCGGATGCTCAGCTTCTGTTTGCCACTCCCCCGAAACATCTTCGCCTTCCTCCACGGTGGTCCTTTCTTCCATTCAGGCTGGGACACCATCCCTGAGGCCACTGGGCAGAAGAGCTGAAAATACCAGGCATGTTGGTATCATATTGTCAAAGCCCTATGGTGTTAACTGGAGGCCCAGGGAACACTGCGGCCAGGTCTTCCCCACCCCCACCCCCAGCCCCCAACTCCACCTCTCCAGGAACCCCCGCACCTGGTACCTAATTGTCTTTTGGAGGAAGGAGGGCCCAACTGGGTCTCGGATCCCACCCACCCCCCACCCCCGTCTGAGACTCAGCACATTCCTTATTAATCACCACTCTCGGGACAAAGAACAGCCTGTAAGGCTCTGGAGTCCCGGCTCTGCCACTGTTGCCTACGGTTACGTCAGAACAGAGGCTCCGGGACCCTCTTCAGCTGCCCTGGCCCAAGACTTCCCAGAGCAGGACACAATCCAGATGCACAGACTCGCTCTCGAGATGGGACCACAAACTTACTACTAGTCACCAAGTGAGAGCTCCAGAGCACTCGGCCCCTTCCCTTTTGGCCGCTCCCAGGGAACTCGGACGTTAAGTTATCTGATCATAGTAATTGTTTCCCGAGTTCCAGGTATAATAACTCTTTCTCTCTCCCTTTTTTTTAAGTAATCTCTACACCCGATGTGGGGCTCAAACTCACAACCCCGAGATCATGGGTCCTATGCTCTACCGTCTGAGCCAGCCAGGTGCCTCAATAATTCTCTCCTTCTAAGAGATGATGTTTCACCTGGAGTCTCTCAGTAACAATTTCCAGTTTATAATCCTCTGTCACCCACAGAGCTTTCCTGGGCAGTGTTCATTTCACTTTTTGCTGCTGTTACCGGGAAGCTCAGAGCTAAATTTAACATCTAGGGATGAAAAGTATCTCATTTAGGGTCTTGGTACACTAATTCTTTCCTCTGAAATGTACTTTTTCATTATTTTGTTTTGTGGTGCATTTTTGGCCTCTATCCTATCCCGCCGTGTATGTGGCAGCCCCACTTCCCTAGGGAGCAGGCTGAGAAGACTGTAGAACAAAGCGCAGGTGTTCCCCGGGGTGGCTTCACGCCCCCTCTCCATCATTACGAGCGTGCCAAGCACACTCCCCCAGCCCTGGGGCCCTAGGCAAAGGAGGATTTTACCTTTGGTGTCTGGACCTGCCCTCCTTCTCCCAGGCCTGTCTTCGTCCATCCTCCCACCACTGCCCTGCTCACGGGCCGGGCGTCTGGACCCTTGTCCTGGGCGCTGCCACCAAGGACGTGCAGTGCCAAGTACACAGAAGCAGCCTTTTCCTTCTGCTCTGTGGGCAGAGGCAGGCTTCGGCTCAAGCAACACCATGTGAGTCGGGGCTCGGCCCTCAATGACGGGAAAGGGCCGTGGGCCCTGAAGCTCCACAGGGTCTCTGAGTGGGTACACGAGGCCAGCTCCAGCCAGCCGGGGGGCGTGGGGGCTGTGAGGAAGGAGCGGCAGGAACTGAGCCCAGCCAGAGGCCCCGAGGGAGGGTCTTCCGGGGCATTCTCAGGAGGTTCCAACTCCCTGCTAAGTGCACAGGGACTCAGGACACCCCCAGATGGCTTGGACCCCACCACAGTGCTGCCCGTGCAGAGGTGTCGGGTGTCAGGGGGCCCACTCTTCCAGGTGGCACACGTTGGGGTGGGCAAGAAGGAGGCTGTCTCCCTGGGGCTGCTGGTGGATGAGCCACAGGACTGCCCCGCTGCTGGGGTGCCAGGGTCCAAGTATCCTTTCTCCTCTCCCTGCACCCCTTTTCTCCTGCCCCATGGCCTAGAGCAGCTGGGGTCCTCCTGGAAGCTGTCTGCCCCACTGGGGGCCAAGCCTGAAGCCGGGCAGGGAGGCAGGAGGGTCCCCAGCCCTGACCCGACAAAGGATGCCTGTTCCTCGGGCCAGCTTCTCCTGCAGACAGGGTCCTGGCCTTGTCCCGGCCCCAGGGCGACGGGAGGTGGTGGGTGGGTCTCTTCCTGAGGCAACCTGAGGAGGTACTTGGGGGGGAAGGCAGTGTCTGCCAGGGCAGCGAAGACACCAGGAGCCTGAGTGGCCAGGTGGGACTGATGCCCAAGGGACGCGGCTCTAGGACACGGCAAGATCTCTTCCCTTAGCCCCACCTGCCTCAGGGCCACAGAAGGAGCAGCAGAGGGGGCGCCGGAAAGCTCCAAGGGCCTGCCCGGCTGCCCAGCCCTGCCCCTGGCCACGCCATCAGCACTCTCATACAGCTCCCCTGGCTTATCCCCAGGGTCACAGTCCTGGTTCTGAGATGGCGGGGAGGTGGCCTGCACGGGGCCACCTGGGGCCTCTCTTTCTGTTCCCAGAGGCTCTGATTGCTCCTGGCAGCTCAGCTTCTCCACCTTCAGCTTCTTCCTCTCTGAGGGGAGCTTGTCCTCTGAGGGCTGGGACTCCCCAGAGCTACCACTGGGCCGCCTCGGCACAGTTTGGGTCCACTGACAGGTCTCCTTCTTGTCCCCACCACCACGGGTGCCTTCTTCCATCTTAGGGTCTGGCAAAATCAGCTTGGGAGCCTCTAGGTCACCTCCCCTGAGGGGACCAGGTGCTGCAGGCAGCTGACACCCCAGCTCCAGCCTCCCATTTGGAGAAAGCAGGGGGCTCTTGCTGCCCAAACAGGGGGGTTCTCTGCAGCTGAGGGTGGGGGGCGAGGTGGCCCTGTTCACCCTAGGCTGGTCACTGCCTCCTGCTCTGGCCACCATCTCCCTCTGCTTGGGGGACTCCATCACCAAGAAGCCCTCCGGGGCCAGTGGACTTTGGCAAGGCCCTGGCTTGGCCCCCACAGCTGTGTCCCCATGGACAGGGGTCCTCCTGTCCTGGGACGGGACTGTGCCCTCATTCCCTGCTAACTCTTCCTGGAGAGGAAAGGCCAGCTCTGTCCCACTACCCAGGGTCATCTCCCTTGCCTTCTTCCCTCTGTGGCAACTGGTTTTCATTTTCTGGTAGATTCTCTTGAATGTCTCATTCCCATACACCTGCCACTTGTCCTGGGAGAACATCTTCAGCTTCCTCTGGCTACACTTCTTACTGCCTGCTCTGCCCTTGCTGGCTGCCCCCTCCCCAGCAGCAGCTCTGTTTCTATCCGAGTCCTCTGCAGGCACCAGGCTGTCTCCAGTGGGGGGGCATGGCAGATCCTCCACGGCAGCCTGTCTGACCAGGGCCCGGGGGTGGCCGCTGGGGACATCCACCAGTCGGGCGGGGGCAGGCCTGGGGCTTAGAGGCTTCTGCCTCCTGGGGCAGGCGGCCCGGGGGCCCGGGGGCTCCTGCCATATCCTGGTGCCCTCGACAAAGGGCAGTGAGTTGCTCCTGGTGACGGGCACACATGCCACAGTGGTGGAGAGCTGAGCGGGGACAGAGTGAAAGAAGAGTGGCCGTGCCTTGTCTGGGGGGGTGAAGGTGGAACGGGCCGAGCTGAGGGCAGCGGGTTTCCTCTGGCCTGGCTGCAGCGCCCGGATGTCAAAGTGGAAGGAGTCCTTGTAGGTGTAGGGCATGGGCAGGTCGATGCTGCCTTGCTTGCACAGGACCGTCTTGCGGGGCCGCACATTGTCCAGCTGGGAATCATCCACCACGGCCTGATTGTGGGAGATGAGCCAGGCGATGCGCTCCTCCAGCTGCTTCTTCTCCAGCTGCAGGCTAGGCCCCCCAGGCCCCAGGGCCACCTCCGCCTCAGACTCGGCACTGTGCTCCGACAGGCTGTGCAAGGGGCTGCCGGGGGCCGGCGGCTGCTCTGCGCTGTCAGAGCGGGACAGGTAGCCCGAGTCGGTGCTCTCACACTTCCGCAGCCGGCCCTCCAAGGCCTTGGCGTCCCAGGGCTTCTCCGAGGACGTGGCCGCTTGCTGCTGCTGCAGGGAGCACAGCCGGCCGGCAGTCGGGGACATCTGCTCTGGCAGCTTCCGCCTCGGCTGGGAGCCAGCCAGGGCAAGCCCAGGGGAGGCCGTGCTGGCAGAGTCCACAGGGGTCTCTCTGTCAGCAAATGCGGACCCTGGACAGGGAACAGCTTCCAACTTCAGAGCCAGGGTCTTGGCAGTAGAAGACAGGGGCATGGCAGGCGCTGGGCACTGCCCAGCACCCTGGGCGCCTACAGAGAGGGGTCTCTCCGATCGGGCCCCGCCACCCACCCTCTGGCTGCTGCCGTCCCCCACGCCATCTGCTCTGGAGCTCTCTCCAGCCTTGTCCCCCTCCTCCGGGAGGCTGCCCCCACCGCCATCAGACTCCGAGGACAGCCGAGAGTGGTTGAGGTGGGTCTGGGTGCGTCTGTGCTTATACAGGTTGCTCTGGGTCTTAAAGGCGACACCACAGGTAGCACACGGAAAGGGCCTCTCACCCGTGTGGGACCGGATGTGCTTCTCCAAAACACTGGGCTTCAGGCAATCCCGGCCACAGTGTGGGCAAAGGTACTTGCCGGCATTCCGTACCTTGCCCGGGCTCCCCAGCGTGGGCCCCGGGCCCGGCGACAGGACAGGCAGAGTGCCCACAATGTTCACAGTGAGTGCCGGGGCCGCTGGCTTCCCCGCCTGGGTAGGGCCGGGTCCTTCAGGCCGCAGCAGGGGGCTGAGAATAAAGGGTACACTGCCCCCATCCAGGCTGTGTGTCACTAGGGGGGCACGTGGCTGGAGGCCCCCCGGAGGCACTGTGTGGTACAATGGGATGGGCAGGGCCTTCAGGAACACGGTAGAGGCCAGACCCTGCTCCGGTGGCAGAATGACAGGGCCCAGGGTCAGGTGAGGTGAGACCTGCCCACCTGGGGCTCCTGGGTGTCCAGGAGCTGGAGCCAGCTGGCCCCCGGTGGGCGAGAAAGCACGAGTGAGTTCTGGCACCTCCATCCTGCATCATCTGGGTGGTTCAGGATGCCTGGCGACCTGTGGGCAACACCAAACTTTACTGGGGGCACCTCTCTTCTCTCATCATGCAGTAAACCCTTCCCTGCCCCCACGTGGCATTTCATCACCCCACTGGAGCCTTGGTAACAATCCCCTAATAGAAATAGTAATCCCCACATTATTAAAGGGGAGACAGAGGCTCAGAGAGAAGTGACTTGACATGCAGCTAATACATGGCAAAGCAGGATTTGGACCCAGGTCTGTCTGAATCCTGCCTCTTATTTCACATGCCTTAAGGGAACTCTTGACCCTTGCCCTCTACACACGGTAGGCTTGTTACTGTCATCCCTCAACACCCAGCACAGTGCCCTGTGCAGAGGGGACACTTAGAAAATGTACTGCCTTCATGAAAAAGAAAAGTCACGGAGCTTAGCAAGGTCCTCAAAGTCCACAGTGATTCCATGCTGGGACTCGGTTTCCAGATCTATAAAAGGGGAAGAGAATCAGCACCTCCCTAGGACCTTTTTCACTCTGGAGTTCTTAGCCTCTGCTATTGGATGGAGGCAATAAGGAAGAAGACTGACCTGAAGGGAAATCTAACAGATTCAGCAAATGAAAACAGAAGACTCCCTGCTAAACGCATTTCAGAGAAATGATACATAATTCTTTAGTATGAGTATATCCCAATCTGGCACAGGTCATGCTTACACTAAAATTATGTATTATTTACCTGAAATCCAAATGTAATGGCAGGCTGTACTTTATCTGGTTACCCCACCAGGATAAGGAGCACTTCCTCAACCTCAGGATCAGGCTTGGGTCTCTGCTCAAAGGTGGGGCTTCCAAAACCCCTCCAGATCCAACTGGGACACAATCAGTTCCCTCTCAGCCAGAGGGAAGAGCTGGGCAAATATGAGGCAAGACAGCAAGAGAGACCCAGCCATGTTCTTCAAACCATGGAAGGGAAAGCCAAATACAACGGGGGGCGGGGGCGCCTGGGTGGTTCAGTCGTTAAGCGTCTGCCTTCGGCTCGGGTCATGATCCCAGGGTCCTGGGATCGAGCCCCGCGTCGGGCGCCCTGCTCAGTAGGGAGCCTGCTTCTCCCTCTCCCACTCCCCCTGCTTGTGTTCCCTCTGTGTCTCTCTCTGTCAAATAATAAATAAAGTCTTAAAAAAAAAAAAATACAATGGGAAGAGGCAGGACAGGCCCATGGTTACAGGAACGGGGTCTCCAGAGGTTTCTTGCTCAGACACCCATCCCCTAGGAGCTCCATAAGCACACTTTGATCATCCCCCAGCTCAGCTCCTTCAGAGAAACAATGCATACTGCAGGCTTTTGCAGCAAGCTGGGTAAGGGAGAAGCACTGGCATATGCGGGAACCGGCTCCTAACGGCTCACATCAGTTCACGCCGGCTCATGAGAGCGGATTTTCAGGAATTTTGCAAGCCAGTTGTTAAACATGGCCTAATTAAGAGTTAAATCATATAAACTTATAAGTTATATTAAAACAAAGGTATACAACTGGATATTCACATGTAAAAGAATGAAGTTGAACTCCCTATCTCACTTCATATACGAAAATTAACTCTAAATTGACCAAAGATCTAAATGTAAGAGCTAAAACTACAAAACTCTTAGAAGAAAATGTAGGAGTAAATCTTCATGACCTTGGATTTGGCAATGAATTCTTAGATATGACATCAAAAGCACAAACAATTAAAAAAAATTTTAATCACGTTTTATGTAATTTTATACTAACTTTTTAAATCTAACTTTATACCAACTTTTTTTTTTTTAAAGATTTTATTTATTTGACAGAGAGAGAGAAAGCATAAGCAGGGGGAGTGGCAGGCAGAGAGGGAGAAGCAGACTCCCCACTGAGCAAGGAGCCTGATGCGGGACTCCAATCCAGCACCCTGGGATCCTGACGTGAGCTGAAGGCAGACACTTAACTGAATGAGCCACCCAGGCACCCCTATAGCAATTAAAAAAATTTTTTTTACCAAAATTAAACTTTTGTGCATCAAAGGACACCAAGATGTACTATATGTTTGCTAACTGAACATAATAAAAAAAAAGTGAAAAGACAACTCACAGAATGGAAGAAAGTATTTGCAAATCATGTATCTGGCATGTCCAAAATACATAAAGAATTCTCACAACTCATTAAAGACAACCAACTCAACTAAAAAATAAGCAAAGGACTTGAATACACATTTCTCCAAGGGAGATCTACAAAGAGCCAAAAGCACAGGCAAAGATGCTCGATACCATCAGCCATTAGAAAAATGTAAATCAAAAACAAAATGAGATATGAATTCACACCAGCATGTCTTTAGCAATAACAACAACAAGCTGGAAATGACAAATGAGCACTGCTTATGGGAATATAAGATGGTGAACATTTTGGAGGCTCCTCAGAAAGTCAGACATAGAACTATGATGCAACCCAGCAATTCAACTTCTAGGTATACACCCCAAAGAACTGAAAATAGGAATTCATATAAAAACTGGTACATGAATGTTTACAGCAGCACAATTCAACACAGCCAAAAGGTGGGAATAACCCAAATGTCCAATGGCAGATGAATGGATAAACAAGATGCAGGCCATCCATACAATGGGATATTCTTCAGCCTTAACGAGAGCAAAGTGCTGACACACATTACCACAGGACAAACCCTGAACACACGATGCTGAGTGAAAGAAGCCAGACCAAAGAGGTCACATCCTGTGTGATTCCATTTATATGAAAAACCCAGATGAGGCAAGTTCACAGGCACAAAAAGCAGGTTACAATGGTTGTGAGGGATAGAGAGGGAGAATACGGGGTGGCCACTTGATTGGGCACAGGGCTTCCTCTTGCAGTGATGAGACTGTTCTGGCAGTGGTACGACATTATCAGTGTACCTGAACACTGCCAAGATGTCCACTTTAAAATAGTTAAAATGGTGAGTTTGATGTTATGTGAATTTTACCTCAATAAAAAAGGTACTAAAGGGCGCCTGGGTGGCTCAGATGGTTAAGCGTCTGCCTTCGGCTCAGGTCATGATCCCAGGGTCCTGGGATCGAGTCCCGCATCGGGCTCCCTGCTCCTTGGGAGCCTGCTTCTCCCTCTGCCTCTCTCTCTCTCTGTCTCTCATGAATAAATAAATAAAATCTTTAAAAAAAAAAAAAAAGGTACTAAATACTTAAAGCTCATCACTTGCTAATCATTTTTATTTCATCTTACCACTATCGGTACTCTAGGGGTTGTTTTTGTTGACTGCGTCGGCATGATGGAAATGCCATATGATGGTGCAGCACTCCATATCCTGGTATCATCCCGACTTTGGGTTCAGTGATGTCATGTTCATAGCCTGGGACTGGCCATGGTGGGGCTATTCACACCACAGAAATCAGCAAATGCCACAAGCCAGTCTTTTTTTTTTTAATCCTGAAACCAACTCTCCCATTCTCTGTTCCTCGTAGACCTATTTAATGTTACAGATCTCATGCCACCATGCCAGCTGCCTCAAAACATTTGACAGTTCATAATTTTTTGTTTGTTTGTTTAAGATTTTATTTATTTGAGAGAGAGAATGAGAGAGAAAGAACACATGAGAGGGGATAGGGTCAGAGGGCGAAGCAGACTCCCTGCCGAGCAGGGAGCCCGATGCGGGACTCGATCCCAGGACTCCAGGATCATGACCTGAGCCGAAGGCAGTCGCTTAACCAACTGAGCCACCCAGGCGCCCCGACAGTTTATAATTTTTTTAAGGGAAGATTTAAAGACAAAAATCTTTAGAGATCAGAAGAAGGTACTGGAATTCCTCAGAGCTGACGTCTAGGAAAGACAATGGCTTACCTCAAGGCACTGCGTACCTCCTACTAGCTGAAGAATTTTGAGATGCTTCCCAGTGGAACCATCGGACTGAGTTTCTGTCCCTGCTTACTTGGCTTGCTGGTGGGTATCCCTGAGACCCAGATCCCTCAGCTCTGAGAACAGGTCACTTGGGCAGAGCTACAGGGAGATCTCCTGAAACAGTCTGTGAGAATATGGAGCGCGGCGCCAGGCATGGAGTAAGCGCTCCACTTATTTGGGTTTCCAAAGATATGCCTCGGTATTTTGAACTATTAACTAGTGAATCCTCCTCCACCCTCTCTTCCCTCCTACCCCGTTTCTTCCCCCATCAGTCAGCAGGCCCCATTCATTGCTCCTGAGAAGAGAGGCTGTCTCGTGTTGGGTCCCCCAAAAAGAGATGTCATCACAAGGATTCTATTTGGGACGTGACCCTAGGAAACAGTCATAAGGGAGAGAGAAAGACGAGGTGAAGGAAGCTACAAAGTGTGTGTCACGGGGCAGGTAGAGCTTGACCCCGAGGGGGAATACACAGACCATACAGAACACATATCTCAGCAACCCCACATAGTGAGGAAGCTGTCATGCACCGAGGGTCCTCCTGAGAGCAGTGAGATGCTGGCTGTGCAGCTGGGCAAGCGCACACACCGGGCAGCTCTGGGGGTCCCACAGCGCCGTCAGGCCCGCAGTGCTGCCCGAAGCTGGCTCCTACAAATGCAGGGGGAGATGGGTAGGCAGGGCTTTGCTGGAGTTGTTGTGGCAGAAAAAGAGTAAAGTCTTCCGGATTCCAGAGCCTAAACCCTAAGTCGGAAATCCATTTCCCAGTCCTCAGTTATGATGGTCCCTGAGTTTGGAGGAGGTGGGAAGGAGGAGAGGTGGGAGGAAAAGGAGGAAGCCTTCCAAAGTTGGCTTCAGGGGGAGTTGGGTGGAGGTGTGACCTGGACCCCACTCCCTGGGGCAATCAGGTGAGGGCCCAGGGCAGAGCAAAAACAGCCCACTGTGCGTGTCCAGGCAAGCAGGATGGAGGAAGCCTATGGGGTTCCCATGCTCCAGAGCCCCAGAGAGGGGCCCTGGAGGGACCAGGAAAATTCCAGTTGGGCCCTGGGGATCCTGCATGGGGAGC